GGTCCAGTTTGAGTCCTGACACACATGAGACAACAGATATTGTGTAGTTGTGGTCATTTCCTCTATTGTTGTCTTGATGTATTTAATCCAAACTTTCTACAGTCGTTTTGTTCAGTGTTTAATCTGTTGCTGTACTCAACTGTCTTTGACTGATCTCTGGTCAGTGTGTCAGTCTGCGGGACTACAGGATCCCCCTCAACACAGAGATGGGATCAAGTCCTTGTTTGGAGAGGCCAAGGTGCATTCACTGACCTGGTTCAGCAGAGATGACTGATTAACTGGTGTGTGTGTGTGTGTGTGTGTGTGTGTGTGTGTATGTGCGGCTCCACCTGCTGTTTCCTGTTTTAATTACAGAGGACAATCACACTACACTTCTTAATACTGACTTTACCTTCACTCTAATGAGCCTCTTACTACGAAAACAGCCCTTCTAGAAACAAGCCAAATAATCTTAAATATAATCAATATAATAATCCAAATCTGCCAGTGGGGTAAGTCAATTTTATTTAGCTAGAATTCAGAAAACTAGCATAAAAACCCAGACACTGAAATACAATAATGGCCCTTTTAAAATCAGTAACTCAGTTATTTAACATAGACTTTCTTAAAATACGTATTTGGGTCACTTTATTGAGCTGAATTTAAGAATTTGTACTGTAATCTAAGACCTATACAAATAGTCTACAAACAGAACAATAATGCACAATAACAATGAACAAAACTTTTTCTCACAATAAAGTTTTTCCTGCAAAAAAAGTATAATTTATACACATGCACATTAAAATCCTTAAGAAGACATCCACTCCTTCTTTATTAAAAAATCCTGAATCTATGAATATGCAAATGTTAATCATTTCTGAAGTTCAGCCCTGGTCAAAGTTGCTCAAATCCTCACGTTATCCATATTTCCTGCTTCTAACACATCAACTCTGAGGAGATAATGTTCACCTGCTGCCTGATATATATATATATATATATATTTATTAATTAGTCCTCACAGGTGTATTAAAACGCACTCATGAGCACTATATAACAATATTTAAATACCGTGCACACATGCTTTGTGTCAGAGGTACAGAGACACCAAATGTTTTATCCAGCTTTGTCCTATTTATATTGCAGAAGTCTTGAATTTCAATACATTCCTGCAAGCAATGTTCCAGGTTTCCTTTGAATATGTATTTGATGTGATTTTCTCTCTCACAATCTCTGCAGAGTGACGCAAGAAAACTAAATGAATGTCTTGTTATTGAGATAACCCAGTGCAATGTGGCTCCTCATCTCTTATTGCTTCACTTGCACTTTACTGGCATCACAGCTATTCTATTCCTTCTATTTCTTCCCATTTACTGCCTCTTACTCTCCCTCCCTCCCTAACATTATCACCTGAAATGTTGGTGACTGAGGCTCTTTCTGCTTCATCAGCAGAAGTAAAAGCCTCAGCTTAATGTCTGAAATTGTACCCAGAAAACAAAGGTTGCTTTGTTCACATTAACCTGTTTAAAGTGTTCTTTCCCACCTTTCTTGTGTTTGTGCAACATTTCTGTTTTTGCTATCACGTTCTTTTCTTTTGATGTGACAACTCCTTTATCTCTTTCTGGCCAGTGTTTACATTTTTATCTTCTTTTGTTGCATTTCATCATTTCGACATGTCAAGATTGTACGAATTACCTTACTGACTAATCCCGAGTTATTGGTTAATTCCCAGTGTCCAACATCCAATCACAGCTGACAGTCACTTTCATCGTCGTTTGGGGTGTTTTTAGCCTCTGAGGACGCAGTGACATTTAAAATGGATCAAGCTCGACACATCTGTTACAATTGCTGAACGGCTAAATTGTCGTCTTAAGTCTTTTAGATTTGAATCGAGCTCTTTCCTGAAGGCATGTGTCGCCTGTAATACATCAAAGGGCCGTTTCTGTCCCAGAATGCACTGGAAGACAAGGAGAAAAAAGCCTTTCTTGATGCTGCAGCAGCACAGACCACATGCTGTATATAACCCCCCCCCCGTGTCTGGAAATTGGAAAATTAGTTCCACAAACATGCTTCAAGGCTGAAATAATATCACAGGTTGAGTTAAATTTCAGTTGGCTGCACTGATCCGCTGTGATCCGCTGACTTGGTGTCATCTCACATGTTAGTGGTTTTTGGGGGATTGGGACCTCAGCCAATATTTGGTTGATAATGTGAGTAAAATGTTATATGATGACATTATTACATATTTAATTATGATTAAATAGGCATTGATGAAAATATTGTTGTAAATTAAACTATCAATGTGACTGTCCTTGAAGGCAGACACACAAATAATGCGTAAGCAATAAATCTGGTTACAAGCATATAGACCATCGACATATAGTATGTCAACTCTCCAAAAGTGAAGCCAAAACATCTCTATCGCACCCTAGTGGCTGACTGAGGTAAAGGTCATAAAGCCCGCTGTCTCCATGTTAGCTGATGGGACAAACTAAAATGTCAAAATACACAAATACGTTTTCCCAAAGATGACTTCTGTAATTTTAGGTAGTTTTTTTTTATCATGCTGATGTGTTCATTTTTATTAGTTTATTAGTTATTTGAACCTACAGAATGACGTCACCAGCTCAAGATGGCAGCAGCCGTATCAGATATTTTGGCTCTAGTCGTTTTTAGACATTTTAATGTTACATTTTACATCATTAAGTAAAGGCAGCCAAAAGTCCTGAATTAAAACCTTTATTTAAGTATCGACAACAAAAAGTATTTAAAGTATGTATCAAAAGTAAAAGTAATTTTACATTTTTGGCATTGTAATGCTACCAAATAATATACTATATCGTCTGATTATTATTACTATAACGTTACGTAACCCATACTTTATGTACGTTATTAGCTGGTAGTTTAAGAAGAAAAATCATTCAGAAAAAAAACTCTAATATATAACAATATATCCTTTTACAAACTCATAGGTTTTCTGAGTAAAATTTGAATCTGAAAAGTAACTAAAGCTGTCAGATAAATGTAGCAGAGTAGAACTATAAAGTAGTTTAAAATAGAAATAGTAAATAGTACAAGTAGGTTAAGAAGCCTACTTGAGTAAATGTACTTAGTCTCACTACTGTAAATGAATATATAGTATGTGTGAGGGCTGCGTGTCCTTTGGCCTGTGGTGGACTTCTTCTGCCCCCTACTGGCAAAAAAACTTGAGCGTTAAAGTTAGAGCAGCCCTTCCAGCGACTGCAGAGGCGTCTCTGACTGTAATTACTCGTGACGGGGCAGACATGGCCTAATTAATGCTTTGTGTTCTCTCCGCAGTATAAATCTGGTGTGTCTGCTGGTGTAAACAGCGAGGCTCCCTGGGTCGGAGTTGGTAATTGCAGGTCTTTGTGCCGAAAGTGACAGCTTGAGGCAGAGGAGATGAGGCTTAATTAAGGCCTAACGAGGCACCTGTCATGTCCCGGTAAAAGCCGGGTGAATGACCCTGTGCTCACTGCCGGCTGCCTGAAAACTTAAATCTGACACGAGGCCGTTTAGATTTGTAACCCCTGTTGGATTTACGTCTTCCGCACAGCTACCTGTCATGTGTTTGCAGTTTATCAGCTTTATTACTTTGCTTTAGTCTTGTTGAATGAGCTCTCACACTTCCTTCTCTCGGCTCTTTTTGCTGTTCTCAACACCTTTTTTTTTCAAAATATTAAAACTTGTCACAAAATGTCATGTTAGTCATGTAATTTAATGTTTCATGCACTCAGTGGTCGACCCAGGACTCAAAAGGACACCAGTGTACAGAAAGTCATGATGCATTTATGATGAAACAGTTCCAAACCCCGGTTAAAGGCCCACTAACCCTCCACATGATTTCTACTTTAATCCATAGAAACTCTGCACACTTTTTGAGTTTGATGAGTAATTCATAATACGACACAGAACCGTCACGTAATGAGGATGACTTTGTTGTCCTCTCACTTGAAAGCAGAAAAGGCTCCAAGGTGTCAAGAACAGGGGGAGTTTCGCCTGCTGATAGAAGAGCTCTGTCTCTCACGCCTTTCCCTCATTTCCTCCCTTGCTTCTCTCCTCCAGAGGCTGTTTCCCGCTCTCGGCCCACGTCTTGCATTTGGCAGCTCGGCTACAAGAGGCTGAGCTGTCCTCTCTCTCTGTCTGTGTGCTTTCCTCATCTGACTGGTGGGAAAAAAACGTAGAACATCGAACCTGTGCCAAAAACTTTTGACGACGGACAGTTTCAGAGTCGATGTGTAGACGGTTGACAAAGGTTGAGGTCGTATTTATTTTTAAACATGCGACAGTTTCAGACTGGACAACCTGGAGGCGGTTATGGGGAGAAGGATCTTGGAGAATCCCTCCCATCCCGTCTATGAGGAGCCTCATCCATCAGGCTCCACAACCAAGA